TGTTTAATCCATTTTTCAGATTTAACTACGTGCGAAAAAAACGATTCTTCTCTATGAGATGAACTTTACCATTCAAATATGATTGCTTTCGTTCATTCTTATCTCTTTTTATCTGTTCTTCTTTTTCGTCTTAGACTCCATCTGCGGTTCTTTCCCTATAGTGATCAGAATGGCGGACGCCTTCTTCTACATTTTTATTAAACAAATAGATTTCCTAAACTGAGAAAAAAAACACAAAAAAGTCTTATGAAAAAGTGTATCTCAATCATTGAACCAGTCTGCTCCTTTTGAATAAACTTTTCCTAACACAAAGTCTATACTAACTGTAGGTCCAACGGCACGCTCCCACCCAGTGCCACTCCCATTGTATTGAACCATATGAATACCACTTTCACCCTCAGCAACGAGTTTACCTTCATTATCGACAATTGTTTTCACTTTATCTCGTGTCATACCAACCTGAATTAAATCATACTGTGCTTTTGTAATTGGAAATTTTTTTTCTTTGAATCCATGTTGAGTTTTTGATACTAATGCATTATTTCGGAATGAGAAACCAACTGTAACATTCGGATTTGTATTCGTATAATCAACGTCTTGAACAAACAAGCCAGGGGAAACAGATAATTGAAGGAAAATTTCACCTGGATTATTGTTGAGATACGATGTAAGTTGATTACGTGTCCATCCATGTTGAACAGCCAAAAATTGTTCGTAGGTAACAGCTGTTGTCTTGGGAAGTGGAGCTCCTAAGGTATAGATAAATAAGAAGACTGACGCTATAGTGGCGAACTGTAGAATAGACATTTATTATTGTTTAAGTCAAAGAAAAAATTATTGAATAAATAATTATAGAGTGTGATATTTTCATTTTATTTATGCCTGTATACAGCGAAGTTATTTCTTTCTTCTCTTATCAAGAAAATCAAACCTGACGGAAGTACGAGGACTGTGTATATAAGTACGGTCATTTCTAAATGTTAGTCGATTTATCGTTTCTATAAGCCAATAAAAATAGCTCACCCGACTGATTAGGCTTGTACCAATAGATGTACATGTAAAACTTTGATGAAAAAAGAGACATTTTATATTTAAAATGTTTCTTGTATCAGCGGCGCCAGAACATACAAAGATGTACATAAAGGACGCGCTCTTTTTGCTTTTTTTCCTTTCCTTCTGTCTATATAAATGTATGTCAAAATACAACAACAACAACATAATCAGTCGGGCGAGCTATTTTTATTGGCTTATACAAACGATAAATCGACTAACATTTAGAAATGACCGTACCTATATAGACAGTGCTCCTTGTACTTCCGTCAGGTTTGATTTTCTTGATATGAGAAGAAAGAAATACCTTCGCTGTATACAGGTATATATAAAATGAAAATATCGCACTCTATAATTATTTAATCAATAATGTGTAACGCGTGATGGTTCATTCATCCTTACAATTATATGTGCTATTTCTATATAACTATTGATGCACTCTTAGAAGCACCCGGTTTCGAGAATTGTAGCCGTGGGTCTACATCATGAACGAAAAATTAAAGTC